AATTTAAGTTCATTCATAAATCTGAAATTATAAAAATAATTGAGTTCGTCTGTTAATCAGTTGGGATTTAAAAACACCAAACTGCCGGTTAATTGATTCGATCTAGTTATCAATCGAAATACCTAATTAGTAACCCTATTTTTAACTAAATATGGCGATTCCACAACCTCAAGTCAATGCTAATGTGCCCCCACTTGACCAGCAAGTACAACCGCAATATGCAGGTAATCCACTGGGATTATCAACCGCGGCCACCCAGCTAATTTTTTTTTCGGACAATAATAAAAAAATCTTGACTCACCAAATGATCAAGGTGAACACTTGCATATTTCAATTAGCTTGTGGATTCTGCACTGCAAAGTCTTAGAAGACACCGTTCCAAAAGGCTGCTCCTGACTCACTTCCTTTTTGCTTTCTTTTTCACAACACTTGGGTACTGGTAGGACTTTCACTTAAACGTAGTATGTACACACCGGTGTAACTGTACCTTACCTTCTTCATCTGATGCGGAACTAATCATTACAATGTCCCCATTTTCTTCCACCAATTCTGATGATTCGATGTTGTCAAAATCGACGGGACGCCACAAAGCCATTTCAAATATTTCAACAAATTTTGCAAAGCAACAGTCACTTACGAAAGCTTAGACGAAAATGAATAGTCACTCACGAAAGCTCAAAACAAAATGAAAAGAAAGTTTTAAAGTTTTGCAAAATGACCTGCTTAAGAGTGTTTGTTTTTCCTAAAATTCCCAGAAAATTACCTGCCCCATTTTAATAATAACTTATTAACCATATGGCCTTTTTAAATTACTTAAAATATTTAGTTGACATCAATAACAAATACATCAAAAAACAACAAAATATTAAAATATTTTAAGTAAGCTGCGACGTGCGTTCATTAGAAAAACTCATGCAAAAGGAGAATGTATTTTTTTTTAGATCCAGTGATTAGATTACAGAATTTGGAAACCAACTCGTCTCTTCCCTTTCAGACAAGAAAAAAGTAAATAATCCGACCCTGGTAAAAACTGACCTGTTTCCTTCGTTTTTTGGCCTGGGTGGGTTCCACTGATTTATGATATGTTTACCCTCTGGTTTACTCTTAACAAAACCGCATTTAATCTAAAAGTAATGAAATTCTTACTAGGTCTTAGCAAAACGATATTAGAGTAATTTAAATTATTTATTTAGTAAATGATTTTACAATAACAACCAGAATGAACTTAAGTCTAAATATCACAATATATATATGTGATTTCGGTGTTACCACCTACTTAAGCAAAGATAAAAGAACATTGGTGGTAATCCTAAATAAAACAATAACATTGTTTGGTTTAGAGAGGGAGGTTTTACAAAGAGACAATCGTTAACTATCGAAATTTTACGTGATACATGTATTATGAAATTAATTTGGAATCATTTGTAAACACGGATATACCAGGTGAATACAAAGTATGGAACCAAGCGTTTTTCGTAAACTAAGCACTTTACGAAAAAAATTATTAGTGTAGCGTAAAATACAATTTAAAAATGTGACCATTTATCAATAATAACATTTTTCGAAATTTCTTTTAGTTTACGAGTTCTGGAATTTTTTTTTTAAATGGCAACCCACCATGGTAATTTTTTTAATTAAAGATTATGATCTAAAAATGACCTCTAATTAAATAAAATTATTTTTTAGCCAGTACTTTTTTAAAAATTAATTGTTAAATTTGCGTTCCGAGCTTGTCACGAAGATGTTCCGAACTTAACCGAAGTGGTTGTTTCATGCATTTCATCATGGGAGAGCCGCTGATTTCTATGCAGGTGCTTTGGTGTGGTTTCGAATGGACTAAAAATAGAAGAAAATGATTTGTTATTAGATTTTTTGATCCATCCGGAACCACCCCAAAGCACCTGCACAAAAAACGTTCTCTCCAACGACTAAAGCCATGAAACGACCCCCTTGTTCAAGTTCGTAAAATCTTCGTGATGGGCTCGGAACGCAACTTTAACAACAATTTATTAAAAAAAAATGTACTGACTAAAAAAAATATGTTTAATTAGACGTCATTTTTCATAATCTTTAATTAAAAAAATTACCATGGTGGGTTGCCATTAAAAAAAAAAAATTACGCTACACTAATTATTTTTTTCGTAAAGTGCTTAGTTTACGAAAAAAACCGCTTGGTTCCATACTTTTTATTCACCTGGTATAGAATCATTAAAATTATTGGATTTATCTGGTGTTGAATTTTTGGAGATCGTGTTATTACACCGGACATACGTGGTTTAAGAAACTGTTTCCCTAATGTGTTTGGTTTGAGTTTATTGAATTTATAATTACCCACTGCATTGACACTGCACGTACATTGGAATATGTAACACGTGCTGTCGAAAGAAAGTTTTATACCAACTTTGGTCGGACTTTTGTATATTGTCGGGGAAGAATTAACGGGAAATCGACGGAAAAATGTTCGCACAGAATTGAGGATGGAAATTTCCCACTGGAGGATCAAGGGGATGAATGATAAGAGTCCACAGCCAGTGAATAACCCTCACCAACATTAGTTGCTAATCAGGGATTGGAATCCGCAAGGAGGTCAAGGCCATAATCAGGGTCAATTCCAATACCCTCAATTGGTAACTGCCGCTATGGCATCACAATTAAGGCTCCAGATCCCCTGAAAAGCTGGCATATACCTATTATTATATTTCGGATATTGTAGACCCTACTTATAAAATGAAAAAACAAAAAAAAACTAAATCTTTAAATTGGTGATTTTCTGAAGATGTTAAAAAGAAGAAATTGAAGGAGGAAGAAGACCAGGTGGACCTTGTTACTACTAGTTTCACAGAGGAAAAAACAATGAGACGCCTATAACACAGCTGAGTCTAAAAACATCTTTCGACTTGCGTACTGATTACACATTTAAGGCTCCAGACCCCCTGAAAGCTGGCGTATACCTATAACATGTAAATTTATTTCATTGTTTTTAGCCGCAAATTTAGACTTGAAGAGTTTCTTGATGTTTGTAGTGTTTCTTTAAAGGTAAATGGAGACCAGGGAAATATTCCCGCTTTAAATAAGTTAATAGATATTTTTTTATTGAATAAAATGTGAAAATCTCAATTATTAAGATTTTTTGATAACGGTATACCGTATTGAATTAAAAAAAAAACATTTTATAGGTAATTTAAAAATACAGTGCCCTGATATAATGCAAATTTGATAACTGTTCTTGATTCTTTGATATAAAGCAAAAATTAAATTGAAAGTAGGCAACCATAATACACATCATTTCATAATGTCGTGTACCTGCTGTAAGATATACGACCGCACCCCAGGGTGTAACCCACAATATGATCGTTTTATTGCGTTTGTTCAAAGCAAAGATATGCATCTGCACCCCTCAAGAAGAGAATTGTTAGTACATTCCAAAACTTCATTTTTTAATTATTCGTCTATTTAAAAATAAATTAAAATAATAGATAGGTTTAATATAAAGGCAGTAAGCCCAATACGTAAACCTAAAAAATTAAAAATTAAAATATAATATTTATATTAATCTCACTGAGGACGGTTTTTGCTTAGGAATTATTATATGGGTTGGTCTTTACGGACAGCTCTAATTAGCCAAATTAATTTTGTGTTAAAAACGATTCTAGGTATTTGTGTTATGTTTATCGTTATTGTGTTATGTGTATTACAAAAAGTTAAAATAAATAAAAAAACAAAAATTAATTTGTCCAGCAAGAACCACGAGCATTCTTGCCAGGAAAAGGATAGGATGGTACCAGAAATGATTTATTAAGGAACGAAGGAAAGAAATTATTGATAAAAATATATTGGGCTATTGCAAAAGGTCAGATCAGTTTGTGCCCCACACATACTACATTTTGTATTTAAAAACACTTTTGAGGGTGTCGTCCTGATTTTTAGCACTAGGAGAAATCGAAGTGGGGTAAGGGACGCAAATTTTGTCGCCGGAACGTGGCGGTACCTTGTAGCGAGTACTCGAATGAACTTATTTGGCCAAAAGAATTCTAGCAAAGGCTGAATGCCATGCAGTACCTTTTTCAAGAGAAATGATATAAAGGTTAAAGCAACCAGCTCTCTTGAAACTACGTCAGTGCTGAAAAAATTGTGAAGGGAAAACTTGGAAATCGGAATCGAATTTGAGGGACAGACGGAGCAAATCGCCATCCTTTCTAGTAAATGTTTTAATGCTTGTACCTATGAACAAATGGAACTTTTGCGTGTTTTTAAGACATTTGAAATAAATATGTAGTTGTTTTAGTTGCACCGAATTTTGTTTATTGAATTTTTTAATGTCAAAGTAATAACAATTCGATAAATTCCGTTTTCTAAAATATGTAAATTAACTATTTGTTAGCAGTATTCAACCACGATATCCATCACACAATGGGCCGTCAGTGACCGTAAAGCGTTCGATCTCCTAGAAAAAGCTGTTCGGCTTGGCCCATCTGGGACCATAATTTAGGACTATTATGTAGTGTGCTGTTTTGTCAATCTTTTGGCGAATATACCGTTCTATTGGTTTTATTTTAATTTTGTTACTCTTACATTATTTAAGCTACAAATGTGAAATTTAGCTCACTTTCGTAGCAAACCCTAGCACATATATGTAAACAAGTTCTCATACCGTTCTCAAAAAGTGTAAGAATGATTTGTTTTGTCATCTGTCAACAGCTGAAAAAAAATAGTCATCTTCAAAAACACGTAAAAAAAGATTTACAAAATTGGAACTAAATGTAATAAATGAAACTGATAATTTTTTAAAAGAATCTTTTAAAAGACAAAACTATAAATTTGAAATTAATAATATGTGAATCTTTAGTTTTTCGTAGCTCTTATAATTTTTTTACAAGAATTCCTAAGTTTGGTTTAAATTTTATTGAGGGTCGGGTGTCTATTGTGTGGCACCCCGGGGCACTAAAGTAAAGATATCCCAGGCAAAACATTGACCATAAGTACCGTTTTTTCTGCACGTTTTTCCAGTTTGTATTAATATCCCGGCAATAAGTATAAAATATCTCTTAAACAAATTACATTCTTTGGAACAAATTTTTGTATACAGTCATCATAGATTCGCCCAACACCCAACAAATTTAGATAAATATTATAGATCTTTTTTGTGACACTTGATGATTACTCTTCCCATTATACCGGTACTGTCAACATATAAAAAAATAATAGTAACTAAAACGCGTAACTAAAAAATCCGAGTAAAAATCTCAATATACCCAAAAGTCTTTTGTTTCGACGAATGTCATGAAAGACAAAAAACATCTTATTATTCTTATTAATTTAATTATTGATTTACATTTTAATCTCTAGTCATTAAGAAAAATCAATGTTTAGTGACTATAATTATAATTTTTTTTTAAATATTTTTAAATACTATACTAAACTTAATGCTATAATTTAAATTCAATATAGTTTTGCTTCAAAAGCATCCCTTTATTTTAGGCGTTCTGTAACATAGTTATCTCATGAAATTACTCCCCTGTAAGAGAACGCACATTAACGCGCCTTATTTACAAGTACAAAAT